GTAATTAATGTGTTAAGACATAGGGACTAACACAGGGAGTGTGTAGTTGAGAGCGAGAGAGAGCTATGTCCATTCCAGATAAAAATGCTAACATAAGGTAACTTATCTGAATGCCTGATGTGCCTATAAAATAAACAGACAGCAACAAATGACAGAAAATCTCTGTTCAGTATGCTCAAGAAATCATATGGACTGAACTTGTGTCATATAATGCCTATAAGGTCTAAGAAGAGCATTATGGGAGGGGGGGGAACTCCCTACAAAAAATGAAGTGGCTCCCGCCCTTTTTTATCTGCATTTATTCTTTTGTAAACATTATATAAAACAGAAAACAGATATTTACAGACACATCAGAGAGACATCTATACACTTACATAATTAGAGAATGTTATAAAGTACCCCATAACCAGTTTTTAGGGAAATTATGGTTGAAGAATATGTGACATGAATGTTATGTACTAATTCATCTCATCTCTCATTCCAGCCAAGGGTGTCAACCTTTTTAAGTTGTGTTTCTTTGATGGTCTCTCTTGGAATATTTTAGCAGCTTGCTCTACTGTTAAAAACTGCACTGTGATCTTGACAAATGTAAAATGTCAGCTCTAATGTATCAGACCTATCAGCTCAATGAAAATAACTCAGAAGTATTGACCACCTAATGATTTTTGGTGTATTCATTAACGTCTATGTGCAGATCTTCCTCTCTCCAGAGTTCCTGAAATGCTGATGACACATTAGTGTATTGCTGATTGTTTATTAGAAAACTGATTAGTTACTGGATTAGTGTGTCAAAATATACTACCTTTCATTGCTTGACAAACTTGTAAATTATGATTTTATTTTTTTTTCATGGTGAAGGTCTTAAGATCAATTCAGTTACAGGATCAGCTTACATAATATAAGGAGTTTCACTTGGACTTGAAAATAATATTTATGTAACAATACTTATCTATACATATGCTCAAATACATTATATTTATTGACATATTTTTTAAAACCAAGAAACACCTACCACTAATACCTTAATGGACAGAACAGTATTGTGACTTTGTATCTTACACAAAAGACCTCAAGGCCACATGGTGTCTATGTGACATGGTAATGAGTTACAGCTTGTCTAAATAAATAAATAAAAGTTATGCTTGATGTGGGCAGCAACTGTTATACTAAATATATTTCACATCATTTCCATAAAGCTCTCATAGCGTATGAAGCACACTTAATGGCATGGCCATACAGTACCTTTCCTCACTGTTAATCTGACATCCATTTAAGCACTGTAGTATTTAGTACCTACTGGGATGAGGTAGAGAGATAACATGGACAAAAATTAGCAACAATGCTCTATGACTGCTCTGCTGATTTCAAGATCTACATAACCTGGAGATTGCCTTGTTGAAAACAATGGGTCTAACCCATGTGTAAGGGACACAGGTATATATAACCCAAATTACACTTTTGTGCAACTCTTTTTAAAAAATAACATCAATTTTTCTTTACTCAATAGAGAAATGCAAATGCTGCTGTATATACTCGCAGCGCAGCAGAGACTAAAGTCACATTTGGACTGTTGTGTTTATAGAAGTATTATACCATGTATTTTATAACCCAGAGTATGTACGGTTCATTCCTTTAAAAAAATCTCCATTTATCATGAAGCAAATAAAATATTCTCCTGTTGAATAAGGATTTTGGTGTCACACAAAAAAACTATCCCACACTGCATCTTAACTATAATCTATGTTCAAACACTTCACAATTGGTTTTCATTGCATGAATGCCCTAACATTAACTACAGTACAAATATTAGGCATTGGTTAGTTCTATATGAAATAAGCCTGTGTCAAATTAATGTGCATAGATCACACTAAAATCAATGTGATTCCTGTGCATTGAATAATATTGGTTGGCTACCATTTTATATAGCTAAAAAAATGATGTTTGGAATAAAGGAAAGAAAAAGAAGCATCAAACAGAACAGAACAATGTTGTGCTAGCTCTAAATGGGGCGAATTACAGCTTTATTGAAAACATGACAAAAACAGGATGTTAAGAACGGAAAGTAAGTGGAGTCAACAAGGTTACACATAAGTAACACTTTAACATTAAAAGAAATCTATTTTCCATTTTGACCCAGAAGCCTCTACAATTAATTACTAAAATCTATTTACACAGCAACTACATAAAATCAATCTGATTGCTGGCACTGGTTTTGACTTGACTCTCTTGGTTCTATTAATCCTACACAATGGCTCAATGGGTACCATTTGTTGTCACAGCGATATTATATAAAAGAAATCTTCAGTAGACCTTACTGAATTCTGATGCTGCTGGATTTTGGGAAACTTGAACTTTTCCTTCTTCCTATCCCTTACTTCCTCTGTGCTTCAATCCAAGATGCTCAGAAATATCTGGTATAGAAGTTAAGCAGCCCTGCGACTTATCTCTTGTCTAAATCCTGGTTCATAATGTTTATGGAATATCTCTTTCAGAGAGACTAGTTAGATTAGCTGAAATCCTGCGGTCTAGCATAAAAATATTAATAACTCATAATCTATGCCTAGTCTGCAAATAAAAAGTCCCCACTGTAATTCTCAAGGGCATGCATTAATTGAAAATTGCAAGAGGAACTCCTCTTTTTGTCAACTATGAATGTAAGTTACAAATTTTCTTACGCTAAGCAACAGGATTTTAATCATTAAGTTCATGATGAATAAAATTATGTTGAATGAAAATTATGAAGCAGAGGAATATTACTTAACATAGAATTTTAACACCTTCTTTAACACCTGTATTTCTACCATGGCAGAGGAACAAGGACCATTGCAAAAATCAGCTTTTCAAGCAAAAACAAAGAAAAATAAATAAATAAATAAGACAAACATCTCGTGGCACCTTAAAGACTCAGTGCTATACTTTAATGTGAGGTTTTTCCCCCTGACAAATCCACATAAGATTATCATGTTAAAATATAGCAGTGAGTCTTTAAGGTGCAATGATGTTTTTGTCTTCTTTCTTTCTTTCTTTCTTTCTTTCTTTCTTTTCTTTCTTTCTTTCTTTCTTTCTTTCTTTCTTTCTTTCTTTCTTTCTTTCTTTCTTTCTTTCTTTCTTTCTTTCTTTTCTTTTCTTTTCTTTTTTTCTTTTTTGCCTGATATGCTAACACAGACTAATACGTCTACCTCTTCTAAAACAATCATCTTTGTTCACTTCAACTTTGTTGCTAAAAAAAAATTAAGCAAATACAAATGAGATGCGTGGAAACTTCAGATTTTACATGTACCTGTTATATTAACAACCCCCAAATCCTGTGTGTTTAATGAGTCTTCTATTCTAAGAGCTGTGCACATGCTGTAATACTACTATATGTGTGCATATTTGAAAGTTAGGCTCACTGACAGTTGCATTTCTAGATGAGGCTTTGTATGACACTATACTCGAGTAGGATCTTTTCTGTACATTGGAAATGGTCTGACAGCTGCCAAGTGTTCACTACTCTTATAATCTTGATGGCTATTACAGTCTTAGATAATGTATCTCTTAGCAGGCTAAAGCGGGACATGCTACTAGTACTTTACAAACAGGCTGATATCTTGTTGCTTAGCATAGCAAGTCACATTAGAGTAGATTCATTGACTCAATGGGGATTGGATGAATCAACTCCTCCATAAATTCCACTAATCCAAATGGGCCTATTCTACTTGCAATTTACTGTAACAGGATTTCAGCAGGCATGACCTGGACATAACAGAGAGTGCAATTCAGAATTTTACACTGCCGACTGCAATCAGGCACTGGAAGATGGGAACAGGTTTTTGGATCAAATACTGATGACTGGTCTGCGAGTGTGTCATGGCCCCTTCTTGTCGGTCGTGACTGCTCTGCATAACCGTGCTGCCACCTATCCAATATTCAGTCATCCCTTGCCTCACACATACTAAGACTCACAAAGGAAATGAGCTGAACCAGAGAACTCTTGACATTTATTCAACTCTAAAATATGCATGCACTATAAACATTGCTTCAAATAACATAAACCTATACAGTCTTATTCACATGCAGGGGCTTCTCAATCTCAAATATTTGTGGGTTTTTTTGTAAGCAGCACATGCAAACACTACACCCTGGCTTCTCCTTGTTTTGGTCCTTCATTTGAAATAAAGCAACCCTTTGTTTGATATTTTCCAATACAGATACAGTTGTTTTCAGAAAGAGAAATAGTTATTATTGAATCTGCTTTCTCACTCAAAAGAAGTTGTCTCTTTTTGATTAGATTATAGGTGTTTAATGCATCTCTAACAAATGTACTTTTGCCCGCATGTATTGACACAGTCCTGATCTGCACTTGATTTTAATCATGCATTTAATGATTGGTTGCTGCAGTCCATGAACCATGCTCACATACAAACACCATTGTAATGGAAAAGCTCTTGCTCCATGACATATTGTGGGTCAGTTTGGTATTCAGAACCTGGATTCCGGAAAGGATCTCTTCCCACCCAATAGCTGGTGTTCACTGACTTATCCTGTTTGTCTACTTCCCTTCCTGCTCATCTGAGCCTTTGGTTACTTACTTAAAGGGCTTCTCCCCTGTATGTGTCCGGATATGATTGTTGAGTGTCGTTGCACCAGCAAAGGCACGACCGCAATAGCCACACTTGAAAGGTCTGTCACTGGAATGGGTGACTACGTGGTTCCGTAGCTCTGAAGGTTGGGAGAAGGATTGGGAGCAGTGTCCACACTGATAGGGCCTGCAGAAAATAGAAATACCCGAAGTGATCACTACACTTTTCTTTTCTTTAGCATATGGGCAGTCCTGTCAAGCTCTTGAATGCTCATTTCTGAAAGGGAATATAATATAGGGGTTTCTTAAGACTTTTTGGTCCTCTATATTGTCTTCTTCCTTTTTAAAAAAGTAATGAAAATAAATGTATAAAATTACAGCTATACACTGTAAAGTCTAACCTTCAATTTCAAAAAGGGCCTTTATGAAACACACTCCTCCACTCCCTCCTATGCTAGGTGTTTATTAAGATTAGTTGTAACTCTCTTCATACCTCTGTAAATCTTGTCTTACTGGTGATAGGGCCAACTAGGGGTCTTCATCAAAACAAGCATCATGGACTTCAGTATCTGAGAGCCTTCTGAGGCTATGAAGTAGAAGCATTGCACATGCTAAAGATAACCCAGTATGACAGTCCCCTTTGTTTTTTCTTCTGAATATCTACAGCAGCTCATTCCTTATTAAGCAGAGATTTGTGGAATGGCTACAACATGGCTACAAACTTTCATTGGCCAGAATTTTGTTGCTTAGCACAGTAAATTCCACTAAAGTAGACCTACTGAATCAATCTGGATTTTGTGAGTCAGCACCCCTGTAAGTTATATTGATTCAAACAGCACTACTCAGACTGCAATTTACTATGCTAAGGTAAGCTACAGTTAGAGTAAGCCCATTTGAATCAATGGAACTTATGGAGGAGCTGGCTCACTAAATCCCCATTGATTCAGTGGACGTACTTTACTATGCTAAACAACAGACTTTTGGCCACTGAAATCCTTTTCTGCTGAGCTTTCTGAATGTCTAAATATCATACCCTTTTATCATGAAGATGATGACTGCCCTTCAAATTCAGACTCTTACCATTGCTTGCCAATTCTAGAGCACACCTAGAAAGGCTTGTGAAATGCAGTTAACACATGAATAAACCAAACTGGGTTTTGTTTAATTTCTTTTTGGCATAGATAGTGCCTAATGCACTCCCATTTGTGCTCTTCTCTTTATTATGCACTGTCTTGCACCATCATTATTATAATAAAGAGTCTTGTACATATCTCAAAATCACTTTTTTGGATTACTTCCTAGAATTCTCTGGCTGGCATGGCACCAGAAAATTTCTCAGACCTCCAAAACCAAATTTGAGGGTGCACGGGTGGACAGCAAAAGGAAGGCCTAATTGGCATCTGTCACGGAACTGCTTCCATCAATAGCATGACAACCTATGAGATCCAAACCTCTGATTCTACTAAAGGCCCATAAATTGTCTAATGTGGGTGATCACGGGACAAAGGAAGGCTAATTGCCTTAGAGAGAGAACAAAGGAGTCGACAGTGAAGGTCTGAGCCAGCGGAGCCAACTGGCAACACCCCGAGGGCTCTTTTATTGACTCAGCATGATTGCATAGTATGTTATGAGAGAAACAGATAGGATACTACCCTGTTTCCCCGAAAATAAGCCCTACCCCAAAAATAAGCCCTAGTTAAGTGAAACCCCACTCTCCACCGTTGTACAGCATTGTGCAGCAACCAGAAGATGACAGGACTGTATCTGAATAAATGTAGATCGTTGTACATGAAAAAAATAAAATATCCCCTGAAAATAAGCCCTAATGCATTTTTGGAGCAAAAATTAATATAAAACCCTGTCTTATTTTGGGGGTTCAGGGTAGTTACCTAATCGTAACTAGGATTGGCTAAAATAACCCTTTGATCTTATGCTCTACCTCTAAGCAAAAGGGCAGAATAAGGGGTTACCCCACCTGCTGGCAGCTGCCACTTCTGCCAGGAGTGTTTGCATGTCACTGGAACAGAATGCAGCTATAAACTTTAAGCAGAAATTTCCCACAGTCTAAATTCAAAAATACCTCTTAAGGCATTCTGATATACAGGGGATAGACATATGAGAAGAGAGAGAGCATGCCCTTTTTTTTGTACTCTGCCACTATCTCCAACCACCCTGCACACATGGGGGGGGGATGGGTAAATTTTAGAACAGCTGAGCCTCTGCTATCTATGGATACACAATCTATGATAAAGAAGGCTGATGCATGTCACCCTCCGTGGACACTGTGATGGGTGTGTGTGCAGAACTACAATGCTCTCTTCACATCCCAGCATCAAAAAATTGTTTAATTTGACTCAACTCGTATTGTCAGTATTTTTGCTGTTTTTAGGGTATGAACAAGAAGAAGCACTTTAAGGTTACAGTCAAAAGAGATGTACACCCCAACTGCTACACATCTTGGAATTATATTTCACAGTAGCATACGTATCTTTTTGTTCCTTTTGTACTTAGTAACTAACTAGCCAGAGCTGAAATGTGTCTGCAGCTTAGTAGCTACAGACAATTTTGACAATGCTGTGCTTTCAAAATGGTAGGTGCTTCATTTTTGCCCATAGAAATATCGATCGGTGGAATGTTTTACATTTTAAGCTATCTGACCATTTCCAATACAGTGAAATGTCTTTCCATTTTCAGTCAGTTCTTAAGAAAATTAAGACTGTGTCTTTAGGCATAGTAATGATTTTAATACTGGGGAAGAGCTCAAGGCACAGTTCTTACTATCTGCATTTTTAGAACCAATGGGCATTGCAGTTTTAATTTCTGTTTCTCCTTAACAAATGTGTACCTCCATGGAGCTAGAATCGAAAATCATAGGGAGGGACACAATGGTGACCAAGCATATAGAGCAATTCAATTAAGTGTAAAATAAAGTCTACTCCCTCATTCATCAACTGAACTCCTTAATTGTGACTACCTGCATCGCTGATCACCAATACTATTACTTTCCAGCACTGATCATAGAATTTTTCCCCCCGCTTGATTAATGGCCTAGCACTGGTCGATGGTTCAATACAATATTATTTTAATTACTCACATTATAAAATATCTGATGAATGTTTCAAACAAGTTTCAAAGAAAAAGTTCTAAAGCTGTAAGATGCCGGTGGAACAGAGACTTTTCATGGCTTCAGTTTAGCTCCAAGCATTAATATTGAACTTTGAGTTTATTGTTCAACCACCATCGATCTTAATGCAGAATTGGAATTATAATAAAAGATTATGATAATGACAGGGATTTAAAGCTTTATGCTTCCACCTGCTATCTAGCACTGGCTTCTTTGGCAGTCTGCTATAAAAACTAGAGAGAAAGAAGCACTACATCCACCTTACTGCTGAACCTACCATTACTACCTTCTGATGGGGTCCTGTTGATTACTTTTGTTAATGAGTAAGAATAAGCAGATGGGAGAATCACTATGGGCAGAATAAGACCCTTTAGGGCAGTTGCCTGAAGGGTTTGCCAAAAGAGATGCAATTTCCTTCCTAACCGTTGGGATGAAATGTAAGGTGTAGTTATCCAGGATGATCAAGTAAAGGAGTAAGGCTCTGGCCAGATTCTCTTTGGTTAGTTACATTGGCGTAAGTGCACTGACATAACCTGCAGCGGTGACTTGCTGCCAGTTAAGCAGTTCATATCAGTACTCCTGACTGTGCACCAATTCATGGAACTAGCATACAATGAGGGATATAAGCAGTCGCTTGTAAAGTAGTGCTAATTCAACACTGAAATGTATGCCACTATACTTACGTCACCTAATGGGATTCTGGCCACTATCCATTTTTATTGTGCTGAGTTTGTTATTGTGATGTTATGATTTTACTGAAATTATTGGATAGGATTGTTCTTGTTTCGATGGCTAGTTTACACAAATATTTGAAGGGTGATCTTATATAGTTTTGATGAATCAATGAATAATAGATCCTTGCTTTTCTATAATGTTGGCTTCTTCTCTGCTTCTCCTAAATCCCCTCACTCTGCCCACCCCTAGTACACTACTTTTCTGGGAATATGTACACGATAGATCTCTACAGATGCCTGTGTAATACACACACTCACACACACGCGCACACACACCACATAGAAATCCTGAGAGCATTGTCTGCATGCTGGAGAAACAGGATGTTGAGATCCATATAAAACATACATGTGCGTTTTTAAGCTTTTTAAAAAAATAGATGGTTTTTTTTTTGCACAACGAAGTACTATTTTATAATAATTAGTAACAAATAAGAGAACTATGTTCCCCATCTCCTCCGTCCTTTCCATCTACAATGGCTCCTATGTGCACCTGGAAAGCCTAAGATCTGTTTTTCGCACATTGGTGGAATTAATGCTCATCCTCAGGGCTGACGGCCAAGGGTCGCACAGCCCAGAAGATCCTGAATGGCCACCTAGAAAACGGCAGGGGATCCAGCAGCACAAACAGCCTGGGCTTGCCAGGGCCCACAAGGGTTTATTTTGTTTACTGCAGTTTCTTTCTTTCTTTTTAAAAAAACAGTTTATACTTAGAGGGACCTGGTAGGGGACACAAAGATATTCTTTTCATTACTTTATTTTTAAATGATATCATCTTAACAGGGAATTTTCAAGAGATCTTTGAAAACTTGGCTGTTCAGACAGGCTTTCCTGGAGGTCACATCATCACATAAATAAATGTTGATTTCCTGAATTTGTTTAAATCAGGGGGACAGAAACAAGGTATTTTATTTCTACAGACATGATGGTGGTATGGTTTATATAAGTTTAAAATGCAAAACTCTACATGTTCAAAGTTTTTTTTTTCTTTAATCAATAATGGCAAAATGGTACTTCTGCTTCTTTCTTTCTTTCTTTCTTTTTTCTTTCTTTCTTTCTTTCTTTCTTACACGGCTGGGGAAGGGGTAGTTGTGCATTTTACTTAGGGTGTGGTTCCACTGGCAGTAAGAGCTGCAGATAAACTCATTTAAGTGTTATTTGATTCAATTTATAAAATCTCATTTACATGATTCACAGGTGAAATTGATCTATTAGGGTTGCAAAGTGAGGGATTTTTTTCAACTGGCTGGCAGGAGCTTTTAAAAATATCTTGTTTATAAATTGATTGAATTCAGTTCGATTTGGTGGCTGTGGATGGTGCTGTTGATTTACTCTGTGCCCCTGCTGAATGTCAGTAGCATTGGCACAATGATTTTCCTCTTTTTCAAAAAAATTCATATAAATGTTTAGCGATGCATCACTTAATGTGCTGTCATTGCAAATGTTTTTGTCAGATAAATACATCCATCAATTTATTGCTGTATCACAAATTTTAAAAAACATTTAAAAAATAAGTCAAACAGTTTCCAAAAAGTGTGCTCCTAAAACAGAAAGGAAATGGGTCAGTTTCACCAGTATAGCCAACAACACCAGTTTTAAGTACCAGAAATGAATCCATTTAATCTCAGTCAAAATGAAAACAGCTACCAATTTATATACTACGTGACTTGAACCTGATATTGAAGAAGTTGGAACAGGAGTTGATTCTAATTGCCAGTGAGACTGCACCATTACAAAGAAAGAAAGAAAGAAAGAAAGAAAGAAAGAAAGAAAGAAAGAAAGAAAGAAAGAAAGAAAGAAAGAAAGAAAGATGCTGTTAAGCCAGAACTGACTCATAGTGATCCTAACAGGGCTATCAAGATAAGTGAAACATTTAAGGACTGGTGTAACCAGTTCCAAATAATATATATAGCCCTCTAAAGAAAGCCTGCATAGAACTATTGATCCTGTGGCCTAAAATGACCTAAGTGGACTACTGATTACGCAAGATGTGCTGTTCTGATATATTCTGAGAGCAGAATATTCCATAAATGCACAATGGGAATATTTCTCTGCACATTTAACACTTGTTTCCTAAAATCAGAGAGACTGGGGAAAGCTGAGTTCATGCAGAGCTTCAACCATGCAAAGTTTGGCACCATTTGTTTTAAATATATTGCAACCACATACAGAAAACTATACTTCAAAGAAAAGTAGTAACAATGACTCAACAACCATCACCATTACTGGAAAACAAGAGAAATATACAGTGGTGCCTCGCATAGCGAGGTTAACCCGTTCCGGATTAACCCTCGCTATGTGAAAACATCGCTAAATGGAACGTAAAAACCCATTGGAACCCATTAAACATTATTTAATGGGTTCCAATGGGCCCTAAACTTACAGTTCAGCGAAGTTTCCTCCATAGCGGCAGCCATTTTCGCACCCTCGATAAGCGAGGGGAGGGCGCGAAAACGCTGCGCGCGGCCATTTCGGGGCTCCTGGTGGCCATTTTGGAACCACCTAACAGCTGATCCGCGGGCATCGCAAAGCGAAGATCGGTAAGCGAAACGCTTACCGATCGTCGCTATGCGAATTTTGCCCATTGCGACCGTTGGTATGCCTCCGCATTAGCGATCCCGAAAAAGGGATCACTATGCAGATTCGTCGTTATACGGTGCGCTCGTTAAGCGAGGCACCACTGTACTTTTCAGCCTTATTCTTTGCTCAAAGGAACTGTCCACTAGCACAGACACAATTTATCAAGCTGAAAATTCTGGCAACGACAGAACAAAGATGACTACAGAGAATTTCTTCCAACATATTCTTACTATTAAATCATGACCAATTGATTTTCTAAGAGTGAGTGGTGAGATCATTAGCATTTATTAGCCCCTGGTTATCTGTTTTTAACTGCTACTACAATAAACAAATAAGTCACTAAATAAGACCAATTAATCTTCTTTTCATAAAAAAGAGAGAAACAAAATAGAAGAACACAAATCAACATGATTAATTTTAATTTTGCAAAACAAAATCATTATTTATTTTTAAATAGTTATGAGATGGAAACAAGTGCGGCCAAATATAGCAGAGGGAAAATGGCCATGAATATAGCAACTACAACCCTCTCCTTTTTCCATAGAAATGTACAGGAGATCTTACTCGGTTTGTCACATAAGTAGCAGTATTGTTTCTGTTCTGGTAACTGAAGCAATGCTTCTGTTGCTGCAAAATCACATTTTCCTATAATTAAAACAGTGACATTTTATAATCGGAAAAAATACTCATATATTTTGCAGTTGGTTAGGTGGGAGTGTGTTAACAGGAGTGAAGGCATATGCTTGCTACTGTCCATGAATAACGGCTGGTGGGTATTCTTCAATCTATCAATTTAGGCAAATAATAATTACAACAGCCAGTAAGCTCCCCCTTTTAAAGAATAAGCTGATTCTAGATTTCCATGTCACAATAAGATTATACACTTAGATATACAGGCATGTCCAGTTCTGGGCATCACAGTTTAAGAAAAATATTGACAAGCTAGGATATGTCAATGGATGAAAGAACAGTTTGTTTTCTGCTGCTCCAAAGTGTAGGACCTGAACTAGTGGATTCAAATAAAAAAAAAAGAGAGGAAATTCTGACTAAGCAAAAGGAAGGTAAAAACTCTCCAACATAGAATGGAGTATCATGGGAGTAGGTGGACTCTTTAGGGAAGGTTTATAAACAGAGGCTGGATGGACATGTTTCTAACTTTGTTGACAACACTGAATAAAATAATTCCTGAATAGAGTTTGAGACCAAAATAAAATCTGAAGTAGGGACTTCTGGTTTGCAGCTACACTTGTTCTTACCATCAAGTGCTCCATCAAGCCCCACAGAATCAGTGTACCCTGCACTCTACCTAAATATAGGAGATAGCAAGGATGTTGTATGTCATCTCACAGCAGCCTCTTAAGATTAGTGGTTTGTATTAGTAGCTTCAAAATAGTAACAAAAGCTTAAGTAAATACAAATGCAAAGATTTATTTGGTATCTATTTGACTTTTATCCCACATGAGTGCAAGGATTTGTGAACGATCATCTGCCTTACGGTCAGTGTTTCCATCAACCCTGTGAAAGAGGTCATATGGACAGTTGACGAAGCTTCCTTGCCAAGTCTGTGTCTGAATTGTTTCCACAGTTCTAATACAAATACTTTAATTACACCTGTGCTCTACTGAGATATAGTATATACTAAGATACAGGAAGACTAACAAAAAACAAAACAAAACAAAACTAAACTAAACTAAAAACAAGAAGCAAGCAAATTAATCAACAACTTAAACCAAATTAATTTCAAGGACATTTAAAAGATCTTGTCACAGAATGGACAGAATAGCACAAGTACGTCCCTTCTCCTAATGTTAGTCTGTAAATGCCCAAATTTCTGAAACATGCAATGATAATTTATCGAATTGGGTTTGCAATTTATGTTGTAATCCTTTAAAATAATAACCTATAATTGTATAAATAGGGAAACACATCTTGAAAACAGCATTTCCTTGAGTATTTTTTATATTTTACTTTAAATGTTTAATTCAAGTATCCTCAACCGCTTATTTTTATAAATGAGAGTAAGAAGGGAAGTGTTTCAAGAAAACCTGAAACTGAAGTAGGCTGCTATGCTTATGAAAAGCCTCTAACTTCATGAGAAATCTGAGGACAGCAATATTAAAAATAACTTGAGCTGTTTAACACAAAGAGAAAACCATTCATAGAAAAAAGAAAGACAAAACACAGGTTAGCACAGGTTTCTTAGGCTATGCTTGAACATGTATCATCCTGCAAACATTATAGCCACTTTGGGTCCCTTGTTGGGAGAAATGTGGCATATAAATAAAACTAATCATCATCATAATCATAATATCTATGTTTCTATCTGCAAAGCTGAAATACACTACAAGTGTAAAACTGTATATGAAACCGTCAATGGTAGTACCATGGTGATCCAAAACACATACACTGTGCTTTAAATATCATTGCATATTGAGCAAGTAAAGTTAGAAAATTAAAGATTAATTTAGAAACAAAGACAGAAAAAAATGTAAATTAAGTTCTCATTATAAGAATTGATTTTGAGTTAAAAAATAAATTATAATTTTTTTTTAAATGATTCACTGTGATTGAAGGCTTCCGCTTACCCCTTTCTGGAGCCCCCCATATGGGATTGTTGGGAATTTCTGCAGCAGAAAGAAACAGAAGAGAAAAGGAATTTCTGACTCCTGGTTCAAGGAACAGCTGGTCACTTTTGCCAAAGGCTGGGCAAAAATCAATCAATCAATTAAAAAAAAAATCCTTGGAACAATTCTTGGCCAATTAACTCTGGAGGGGGTAATAAATGTTATCCCTCTGATTGCCTCCAGGAAATGTACAAAATTATTTAACAAAACAAAAAAAGAGCACACTAGGGTAAGAGGAAACGTAATCAAAATGGTCAAAGTGGTCTTAAAACCCTAATTAATGTCAGATTCACAGAAAATATACATACAAACCTGGATGCAGTTCATTCCTGCCCCAAGTGAATAAACATCCTGCAAAAATGTACGAAACTGCTTTCTGTACATGTTATATTCTACTTCCATAGTTTTACTAAAAATATTAAATTTTTTACTTTTAAAAAATGCTTATCTACTCCCAGATGTACTGTACTCCACCCTGAGATATCAAATGAAGAAATACGCAATATAACCATTGTCTCACCTTTTTCACTATTGTATTCTGCTATTATACTATTCAACAAATTGATATAGAACTCACAAAGGGCTTGTATTCCTTCTGCATAGCCAATTGCATTCTAGAGTCATGTTAAAACCAGAGTCTGAATAACTTATATTTTTGGAGTACAATTGTCAGAACTCACACAGCTAGCCAGAAGTCATGGTGGCGTGGGGCGTCTGGAGTTGTACTCCAAAAAAGTAACTTTTCTAGGCTGTCTCCGTGGTCTTGAAAATATTCTCAGAGCAAATAATCTCAGATCATTTCTTAAAAAACAAAGGAGAAAATACTTTAATTATATATTAACAGGAACTATAAGCAAAAATGTGTATTAGCTAGAATGAGAACAGAAAATCCTTTAAAATCTTCTTTATGGAATAACCATTTTTTGTTTTGTTCTCTTCTCAGATAGCATATTTCTTCTGTGAACATGGCTACGCTAGCAGCAGGGAGCGAGGCCCACATGGGAATGGTTAGGCTTGATTAGAATGATCTTCATCAAGCCTGACTGTTTACACAGAAACGATCCCTGCCAAAGAAATACATTAAAGAAATAAACAAATAAATATTTTGGAGTGGCTTAATAAGTGAGCCACTTCAGGATATTGGCAAATTAATCACTTCCCCTGCTCCAAAGAGGACATTTATATATAAATGTAGACAGACTATTGCTGGTATATTGTATCAGTTATTTTAAAAAATAAAAAATATTTTCTTTTCCGTCTCTTAAAACAGTGGTCCCCAACCGTTTTGACACCGCGGACCAGTTAGGGGGTGGAGCACCCCCCCACGCTCGTGTGCATACATGAAGGGATGGTGCCCGCTCACACGGATATTTGCATGTATGTGCAAAGAGGCGGGGTGCTTGCGCGGCGCACACACACTTGCGTGAATACATGAAGAGGCAGGGATGCACTCGCACATGTGCGCAAAGGGGCAGGGGCGCTCGCACACACTCGTGCGAGTGGGCATGTGGGGGGAGTGCATGGACCAGAACCGGGCCGCGGACCAGGAGTCGGGGACCCCTGTCTTAAAGGGCTAGTTAAGGAACCGCCTTCAGACAAAGCCATCACTGTTGATTTGACTGCAGGTGGTTTCTCAACTGGCACTTTAAGGCAAGGCAAAGAAAAGATCTCTTAGCAATAATAATAATAATAATAATAATACTTGTAGCTGACACAGTACATCAGTGAGAGTCAAGAAATAGTCATAGATATTCACATCCATTGCCTTCTCCTAAGCAAGGGAATGATTAATTTGGCAATATGCAGAAGTGGATTCATGATACTGGCATACTGAAAGAGGAAGGCTTGTTTTGGATTGGTTCCAGCTATCACATAGACTGGAACCAATCCAAACCAGAGTGATCCTGCCCACATGAGAACAGCAAAAGCCCCTTGATAGGGCCAGAAAGGTGCAAGTAGGAAAACTCTGAGGGTGAGCTGGTGTGCTCTAGCAAGATGTGTGATCATCATCACCACACTAACCCCTCCCTACAGCACTCCAAACAATGTGCTAATGTACTGCACTAATATAGTCAATTTCTAAGTTGTATCTATCCCCTTTTGATTATGGAAAGCAGCAGAAACAATTAAAGACATTTGTGAATTTATGCCTTCTCCTTAAATGGACACTTATATCTACAGAATATTCCTAATTCCTTGCTGTCCCACACTTAACCTTGAACTGGATAAGCTGTGCACACAACAAGCTATCTGCATTATAATGTTCCTCTAGGTCTTATATGTCTGCATGGAGACAAAAGCTACAGTTATTCTGTACTCTACCTTCAGTAATTACCTTTAGTGTGTATAAAGCTGTATAACTGAGGGAATCAAAAAGTACAAAAACATCCAGTTTCTGCATTAGTAATTAGGTAATTTTGCACATGCAAACCCACTGTTGCTACCACAGAGGAATAGCGAAAGATGCCCATGAATAGGGCTGGGTCATGGCATTAGTGAGTCAAGATAGTCATTATTGCTGCAAATTTCTTAAGGATCTGTGCTAGTGCTGAGCCTCCACCTAGGACAAGAGAAGACTGGTTGCAAGGAAATCTGGCTGCAATTCCATGGCTATGTGAAAGCACTCAACATGTCCTTCACTGTGAGAGACTCCATACAAAACCCCAAAAAGGCTCTTCCTAGGAGGCCAAGAGAGATGTGTCATTTGTGGGCTTTCCACTCATCAGACTGAATCATGCCCACACAGAGGTATTTTACATTACAAAACAAGAGTACTTATACTTGCAGTAAAATATCCCCAAAAGAGAGGGAAATTGGGTAAAATCTTGCTATTACACACAGTATAGTCAGTGGTAATGTGGCATTTAGGAAGAGAAGGCATACAGTACTTGTATCCAGCTAAGACTCCTGTTCCAGAAAACATATAAAATTGCCTTATTCTAAGTCAGATCTTGACCCATCTAGCAGAGTATCCCATACAGATTGAAAGTGGCTGTCTATGCTTTCAGACACGATTCTTTCTCAGATCAGTGTGGAGATGTCAGGGTTCAATTAATGATACAATTAATACATCATTAGAAGCAGAAATCATTTAAAAGCAAAATATTCTCCGTTTATTCTAGAACAGGTATGCCTCAATCCACTTTCAGAAAATTACTATGGTTTTAACTTTGATTAATTAATTTTTGTAACTGATCATTTGGAAATGCATATAGTCTTGTTTGTATATCTGATTTATCAGACATGTATCTCTGAAAGATTTGCATCCTTCAAGGTATAATGTGGTGCACGAAGAAAACATGCATTTCCTTTAATCTATGATATGACCATGACTGAATTTGGGGGATTTCCCATGCAAAATGCATGCTCTGCTACTAAGCTAAGCAATGCAGATCTCAACAGGAAAAGGTGTCCAAGATGAGTACGTTTGTTAAAAAGGAAATTTTAAATATAAAAATACAAACAATTCCAGCAAGAATAAAAGGTGGAAGACAGCAGAAAAGGCCAACATGACTTCACAAAAAGATGAGAGAAAACCTGAGGACATATATAGGAAGTGGACGGAAGATCAGGGCACAAAGGAAGCATACAGACCAATAGCAAAGAATTGCAGGAATGGCATTAGGAAGGCAAAAGCTGAGAATGAGCTGAGGTTAGAAAGAGATGCTAAAAGCAACAAAATAAGCATTGTTCAAATACATGGGTAGGAAACAACAGAGAAAAGAAACACTGGCTCAGCTACTCAATCGGGATGGGAAGATGATAACAGATGACAAAGAAAAGGCAGAAGTGCTCAATTCCTTCTTCAGTTTGGTCTTCTCCCAAAACAGTCTATACTCCCTCAGGCAAATGTGAAGTACAAAGGGAGGATTGCAGCTTGAAACTGATAAACAAGTAGTCAAAGAATACCTTACTACTTTAAACGAGTTCAGATCCCAAAGGCCGGATGAACTGCATCCAAGGACATTGAAAAAACTGGCTGAAGAGCAGAACCACTGTCTATTACTTTCTTGAACTCATGGAGGATGGGTGAACTACCAGAAGATTGAAGGAGAGCTAATGCTCCAATCTTCAAAAAAGGGCAAAAAAAGAGGAACCAGAGAACTACAGACTGGTACACCTGACATGAATCCCAGGGAAAATTCTTGAGCAGTTGATAAAGCAGTCACTCTCCAAGCACCTTGAAAACAATGCAGTAATAACTAGAAGAAAACACAGATGTTCAAGAAGAAATCCTGCCAGACTAATCTCATTTTTTTTGATTGGGTAACCTACCTGGTAGATGATGGGAATGCTGTAGATGTAATGTATCTTGATTTCAGCACAGCTTTTGATAAAGTGTCCCATGATATTCTGATTATCACGCTAACTAGGTGTGGACTGGAAAGAAGAACTGTCAAGTGAATACACAGTTGGTTACAGAATTGTACTCAGAGAGTGCTTATCAATTGCTCCTTCTCAAACTGGAAGGAAGTAACGCTTCTCAAACTGGGAGGAAGTAACGAGTGGGGTACCAAAAGGTTCAGTCCTGGACCTGGTGCTCTTATACATTTTTATTAATGATTTGGATGAGGGGGGTGCACTTTTATTAATGATTTGGATGAGGGGGTGCACAGAATATTTATCAAATTTGTGGATGACACAAAATTGGGTGAGATAGCTAATACTCAGGAAGACAGAAACAAAATTCAAAAAGATTTTGATAGGTTGCAGCACTGGCTGAAAACAACAAAATAAAATTTAACAGTCTACAATGGAGGTGGGGGGGAACAAATGTATAATTACAAGATGGGGGAATATTAGGCTCATTAATACTACGAGCAAGAAGAACCTTGAAAATGTTAGACCACAAGCTGAATATGAGTCAATGGTTTGATGTGGTTGCAAACAAGACAAATGCAATTTTAGCCTGCAGATGGTGACGGCAGCCATGAAATTAAAAGATGTCTGCTTCTTGGGAGGAAAGCGATGACAAACCTAGATAGCATCTTAAAAAGAAGAGAAATCACCCTGCTGACAAAGGTCTGCATAGTCAAAGCTATGGTTTTTCCAGTAGTGATGTACAGAAGTGAGAGCTGGACCATAAAGAAGGCTGACTGCTGAAGAATTGATGCTTTTGAATTGTGGTGCTGGAGGAGATTCTTGAGAGTCCCCTGGAATGCAAGGAGAACAAACCTATCCATTCTAAAGGAAATCAACCCTGGGTGCTCACTGTAAGGACAGATCCTGAAGCTAAGGCTCCAATACTTTGGCCATCTCATGAGAAGACTCCCTGGAAAAGACCCTGATGTTGGGAAAGTGTGAAGGCAAGAGGAGAAGGGGACGACAGAGGATGAGATGGTTGGACAGTGTCATTGAAGCGACCAACATGAATTTGACCCAACTCCGGGAGGGAGTGGAAGACAGAAGGGCCTGGCGTGCTCTGGTCCATGGGGGTCACGAAGAGTTGGACATGACTTAACAACTAAACAATAACAAACAGAAGTATAATCTCCAAATTCTGTGGATAGGTAGCTGTGTTAGTCTGTGCTAGCATATAAGACAGAAACAAAAGGAAAGAATAAAGACAAAAATGTTGTGGTATCTTAAAGACTAACTGCTATATTTTAATGTGAACTTCCATGGACAAGTCAGCTGAGGAAGTAACTTCCTCACTTCCTCACTTGTCCATGAAAGCTCACATTAATATACAGTAAGTCCTTAAGGTGCCACAATGTTTTTGTCTTCTTTATTTTTTATTTTTCCTTTTGTTTTTATTTGAAAGTCTGTGAAGTATTAGTTCCCCTCTGTTTGGTACTGGTTAGGCCTCATTATCAGTAGCCAAGTTTTGTCAAATTCTGGACATCACACTTTAAGAAAGATGCCGACAAGCTGGAACAAGTTCAGAGGAGGTTAAAAAAGGATGATCAGGGGACTTGAAACCAAACCCTCTGAGGAAAGACTGGAAGAACTGGGCATGTTTAGCCCTCAGAAGAGAAGACTGAAGGAAGATGCAGTAGCAGTTTTCAAATACTTGAAAGACTGTCATACAAAGGAGGGACAGGATCTGTTTTCGATCATCCCAGAATTCAGGACATATAATAACGGGCTCAAGCTACAAGAAACCAGATTTCAGATGAATATCTGGAAAAAACTTCCAACGGGCTCAAGCTACAAGAAACCAGATTTCGGATGAATATCTGGAAAAAAAACTTCCAAACTGTTACAGAAGTATGACAATGGAACCAATTACCTTGGGAGATGGTGAGCACTCCAGTACTGGAGACATTCAAGAGAAAATTAGACAGCTATTTGTCAGATCTGCTGTGCTTTGGATCCCTGTATTGAGCAACCTGACTTGATGGCCTTAAAAGTCCCTTCCAACTCCATTATATTATGATGCTGTGATTTCTCTCCTAAGCAAGGAGTCAACTGTTAAACTGGGAAAGCTGTGGATTTTATTGGAAAGGAGGATTGCATTTTATTAGGGGGAAAGAATTTGCACTTTCTTTTTAGTTTTCTACGAGATATCCAGAACATCTACAATACCACACAAAAAAGGTATGGGGAGGATTAAAAGAAGGAAGGGAAGGGAAATGGCACAGAATGGAGAAAGAGGATAGAAAAATAGTACAATTCATCTAGATTGCATGTATGTGTAAACTATAAATGTTTAGGAGCTTCTATAGCACAAACAAACAAGATTCTTCACAGAAGAGGCTGGGTAATTGAGTCATGTACTATGTTCCACTTCTGGTTCCATCCAAGTTCATTGCTTCCCAAACTGGAAGTTGTGCCCCCCAGAGGAGGCAAAGTGAAATTTAAGAAGTGTGTGAGATGTTCATTTTAAAAGCCCTGGTTTAAAACAAATTTCTGTGGTGGCATTACTAGAATTTAGGCTTTCTCAAGAAAGTTTGCACTTATTTTTAAATAAAATTTGCCACGTTTTTGTGTTTGTTCTTAATTTTAAATTATGAATTGATTTTCCCCCTCAAAAGAGTGCTGGATTACGGCAAAGAGAAGGTGAGGAATAATGAGGGGTTTTCAATAATAATAATAATAATAATAATAATTAAAGAAACAGCTGGCTGGCATGGTTTTTAAAATTCCATTTCAGTCAGAACACAGAGTCATATCTATTATCCTCATACAGTGGTGCCTCACTTAACGATTGCCCCGCATTACGACGAATCCACTTTACGACAATCTTTTTGCGATCACAACTGCAATCGCAAACAATGGTCTAAATGGGGGGATTTCACTTTGCGATGATCGGTTCCCTGCTTTGGGAACCGATTCTTCGCAAAATGATGTTTTTCTAACAGCTGATCAGCGGTTTCAAAATGGCCACCAGGTAATTAAAATGGCTCCCCACTGTGTTTAGGGATGGATTCCTTGCTATACAGGCAGCGAAAATGGCCGCCATATGGAAGATCTTCACTGGACGGTGAGTTTTTACCCCATTGGAACGCATTGAACGGGTTTCAAGGCGTTTCAATTGGGTTTTAAATTTCGCTTTACAATGTTTTCGCTTAACGGCGATTTTCCAGGAACGGATTATCGTCGTTAAGCGAGGTACCACTGTATTTTCATTCATTATTGTCTGAATATAGCTCACAGCATTGGTGAGCACATATTAAGATCCCATTGAATATAGTGAATCCAGTTAGTTTAAACTCATGTAAATCCCACTGATATTGATGGGTGTGCTCCAAAAATGACTAAATCTGGCTTGTCTCATAAAAATGAAGGCTGCAATATGTGTATTATGGCAGAGAAGAAGCAGATAGCAAGGGAATTGGCTATAATATTAATCACGTTATTACCAAATGTAAAGCTGTAGGACCTGCTCATGGTATTTCTAAATCTCTCAGTATCTTTCATCTCTGACATTTTAAACATGGGTTCATTTCAGGACTTTGCATCTTTTAACAAAGTAGGATGAGTACAGCATGGTGGGATCTGATGCATACATATAGTTCCTTATATCCTGAAAAGGCGTCTCATTTCCTTCAATGGAGAACTCGGTATCAAATACACAGAATTATCCTCTCCATTGAAGTGAACAGGAAGACAAAAATCCAATTAACTTCCTGTGTACATCAGATTCCACCAAGCTTCTAGATATTTTGGATGTTATATTGTTGGAAATACACAGAGGCTCCAGACTTAATTTCTTCTCATACACAGTATGATCTGCCTTGAAAAGGGTCTGAAAAAAATTAAACTTTTGCCAGAGTCCTGCATTTAGAGATCACAGTCAACTTGTCACAGCCACTCAGTAAATCACTTTTCCTTAAGCTATCCTTGTGTGGAGTGGAGTGGAGTGATGAAATTCATTTGCCACATTTTGCCCTAATGTTTTCCAGAATTCCATTCTACTAACATCCAGTTTCACAAAACAGCATGTACCGTACCTCAAATGATTATTTTAGGAGCATAAGTTGTTTTATGAAAGCATCTCCCTCCCGCTCAAGGAGACACCCCCCTCAAAGAAGGCAATACTTTTATTAATCTGATTTTTGTCTTTTGTCCTACCAGCTATCAAAGTTGTCAAATAAACCTGACTTGATTCATAAATAATAGTTCCATTATCTCTACTAGGGCACTGGTCAGAGTACCTGAAATTTTAATTCACTTGTTCAGCTAAATCCGTCCTTAGTTCATGGCCATAAAATTCTGTATTGACAAACTTTCAAACCAACTTTGACTCTGAGGTATCTAGTCAACATTTTTCTTCTGTGTGGATATTAGTTTATTGAATAAGTGGCATCTGTTTTCCTCCACATCACTGGTAGAGTAGGTATTTCCTTTTGACAGCTTTGCACGATTTATGGCTTTGCATGCTCTGAAGAAAAATAGTGCTAAGCAAAAAATTCCAATTCATTACCTCTTAGTACTTAATTAAGTTCATACACATTGCACACTATAGGTGAACCCTGAAATGACTATGACAGCTGCTGAGCAGCAAGTTGTATTATCTTTCAAAGATAGAATGACTTTTAATTATCTTGACCTCTTTCTTCTCATCTATGATATCCATATATTCTCCTTCTATTTTGTTCTTCTTTCTATCACGTATACCAGGGCAAGATTATATTCCTAGCCATTTTCTCTTATCTATTTGTGTAGATAACCCAATGTTTTACAAATAATAAACCCAACCAATAGCAACCATCTGTCTGTATAGCAAGCAGCAGATGAATTGCATTGTATAAGTTCCTCCTAATAATGCTCTGGTGCTGAAAAGGGCAGCAGGATGATAAAAGCAGAAAGCAATGGTACTAGCTATCAGCAGATAGAGGAATAAAGAGTGCTCTTTCTTTTACCTGTCAGGGTTCTGTGTGCAAACATGCATCTGTAAAAGAATCCGTTGGGTGAAAGTCTTAAAGCACTGCCCGCATTTCCAAAGGTGCCAGTCACTGAACTCAGAATTTAATTGGCTTGTTGATGTAGGACTTGCAAGGACTCGCTGGTTTTTTACATTGATTTGGTTAAATCCTGATTCAATAGAGCCCGACTTATCCAGGAGAGAGAAATTCCTGTTACAAGGAGTCTGTGGAAATACTATGGACCGCTGCGGACTGGCAGAAGGCAGTTTGCTACTTTTGTTAAACGGCTGGAGCGTGTCTTGCCTTGACATGGCTTCCATTACAGTCGAAGGAACATTCACTAAGAAAAGAAGGAAAAATGTCACAATGTTTTCGGGGACATAAGCAACATATAGGTTAATACTGTCTTAATAGACAGGTTGGAAGGAAAGAACCTACTCAGTTCCCCTGCGTATAAAGAGCAATTCATATGACAATCTCTCATATGCCTCCCTTATTATATGCCTATAATAGGCATTGCTGCTAGCAGAAAACCAGGTGTACAATTTGGTGGCAGATGAGTAGAGGGGATGAAGCTACAATTAATGTTTAGAGGGCTATAGGGAGGCCACACCAGTGGCTCTGGGTACATGAAACACTCAAGCTACAGGCTACAGGCTCGTATGCATGATGATGCAGATTAAATGGACTAGCAGTTAACTTAGGTCTGGTCTATACTTGAAATATTGTGAACTGAGAAAGTGGCAGGGGTAGCAGAATAAACCAGGAAGCTATATGAGTTGTTTAAGTTGCATGTGTTTAAATTTATTTACAGGTTCAATTGTAATAGGTATGATGTCAGATGTTTCACCCACATCATGCGCATGGATGGATGTACGTTTCCACTGAGATGCTCCGGTGCAGCTAAGAGTCATATATCTGCAGAAGTCAATATAACAGCTGGGGCTGTTCTTACGCAGGTGCCTTTAATGCAAAATCCAAGATGCTGCATATATGTACTGTATCTATATACAGCATATGGATCAAGACCCTATTCTGTTAAATACTTTTACGTCACACAAATGGTTCCCATTCAGATAACATATGAAAAATAGGTATTTCTAAAACCTAGAAATTAAATGATAAAACGATAGAGCTCAGGGACATTATCAGTAATAATTCTAGATACAAAATCATGCATCATGTAGTTTAATGCTGTTATTTTAAGAGTTTCTGTGCCACTGAAAGTCTTAGCCATCCATCTCGATTAATGTCAAGTTTTTAACCAGATTTGGAATAAAGTCTGGAGACATTACTTTTCTGATGGCAGCTCCCAAAATCCTCTAGCTAGCATAGCTGCTGCCATACTTCCTGTGGAATTCTGGGAGATGTAGTTCAACTTTTGCCCTCACATTTCCCTCCTCTGGATTAGAACATATGTGGTATGCACTGAAGGCTTCAAGACTCAGCTCCAGGCAGATTTATTGCCATAATATTGCTCCAGAATCTCAGTCCAGTGGAAAGAAGGATCATGTTTTTCATGAAAATCTTTGTGGTTATGTATTATCTTAATTCATGGAATTCTTTTCAGTTTTCAGATTTGCAGATTTCAATTTTGACATTATGATATTTTCAGAGCAGTGCTATTCCCTTACGAGTAACGCAGCAACATCTAACTCATGATATGATCTGTGAAAAAAACATTTTCCTTGGTATCTACAGTAGAAATGTCATATTCGTGGAATGCAAATTAGATGTTTTCCTTTTAATCTGTATTTCCTTTTCATTTGTATTTTTAAGAAATACAAGAAACAAAATTACTGTATATACTCGAGTATAAGCCTAGTTTTTCAGCACATTTTTTTTGCTGAAAAAGCACCCCCTCAGCCTATACTCGAGTCAGTGTCAAAATTACATGTTCTCCCCTGCAGTGCAGGTGTTCTCCAGACTCCCCCACTCATCTATGGGTGCCTGCAGCCTCTGTGGGTGGTCTGATGACCCAGGTTAAGTACACTTCATTTCCGCTTCCAGGACCCTCCCATCCTCCTCCTTCTGCATATTCTATGTACCCAACTTCCTCCTCCCACCTTCCTCCTCCATCCTCCGTTTGCCTCCATCTTGTTGCGCAGCAGTAGATAAGCGCAGCATCCGGTATGAGTTCTCCCTCCAAAGGCAGTGAAGTGTGTCTCGCAGCTCAGAAGAGCAGTATCTTCAAAAACATTTAACCTACTGATGCCTCAATTAATGTAATTTTATTGATATCTATTTTTATATTTGAAATTTACCAGTAGCTGCTGCATTTTCCACCCTTGGCTTATACTCGAGTCAATAGGTTTTTCCAGTTTTTTATGGTAAAATTGGGTGCCTTGGCTTATATTCGGATCGGCTTATACTCGAGTATATACAGTAATATGAAATGTTAAACAAAAAATTAGGAACATTTATTTGTAGGCGAAAATAAAACCCCACTTACAGTTCTCATCTTGTGCAATACACTGTAAAGGAATTCCAAAGAAAGATGTGTAGCTGTCATTATACCACACCAACAACTCTGTCCCCCTGGGAATATCCATGCAAGCACGATAGAATATGTTTGACCTGGACATAATGAAGAAGGAAAGAAGAATGAATGAATGACTGAGATACAACTCCAAAGGAGCATCTACCTCAACAACATAAGACAACAGGGTAGGATGACCTGGTAAAAGCTATTCTCCATTGAAAACCAGTGGTTCTAACTGAGCCAGGCTCTCTTATCTGCAACAACATTCTTAGGGTTAACTACGTAAGTTAATACTAGTTTTTCATAAAAGGAAAACAGAGAATGCACAACAGGATATTTTTATAACTTCATCGAAAAGAACAATACAAGGAGAAAATAGGACAGCAATGAGCTTGAGTCTGGCATGTAAGGTAGCAACAACAAATGACATTTTGCACCTCAGCAGTAGTCCACTTTTAAAAAACTGAAGATTGCTTCATACAGTTGCTTTTTGTTGTCAATGTTGTTTTGGAAGAAAGACCCTTCCTAAATACTATAAACTATAAATGAATTCTAATCAGATCTCTTATGAATAACCAAACAAAGCAAAAGGTAACCTAAATTTCCAACATGTTTAAAGATTTCTAATAACAAGTCTATCAGTTCTGGAATGGCATGTCAGAACTTATTTAAATACATTTTTAAAATTCTTTTGAAATAATCTCCCTGCCCTCCCATATATAAGGTAGAAACACAGGGTAGCTCTGCCCTGACCAGCACAATCCACATATCTGCTCCCTCTGAGCCCAGTTAAGTTTGTTCTGCCTGATTATTATTACACCACTTCACGACGTATTTTTTTCTTGATCTGCAATTTAATTTTTTTTACAAAAATCAAACATGGCAAGAAACATCAGTGAGTTGTATATCACGCAGGAAACTGATAAAAGATTGATCTAGTATTGTTATTAGACACAATGGGGAAGGTTTGTAGCTCAGAGTCAGATCACATACTTTGCAAGGAGAAGGTGCTCAGTCTAGTTCCCTTTCTTTTTCAGGCAGAGTTGGGAAAAGCTCTTCTGAATCACGGGAGAGCTGTTCTTAGTCACTACAAACACTACCAAGCCATAGAAGGCCACCAGTCGGATTCAATAGGAAGCTACATTCCTGTGAACGTTACAAACAACCTGGCAACATTTCTTCACGCTGAATTTATCCTAAAACCACCTCACATCTCCCAAACTTATAGCTAATCGCAATAGACCTACTGTAAAAACTGTAAATAAAATATATAGATTTATGTGGAATCAAGATAATGACAGTCTTGTCTATGCATGTTTCCTTTGAAGTAAATTTCATCAAGTTCAATTAGGGTTTCTTCTTTGCCTTCTTCATTATCTCAAGCATAAATGACAGAATCATGCCATTTTTGTTATTGTGATCTATTTTATTTGCCTTTTAAAAATGTAAGTTGGTATAAACCTTTGTAAATATTATTATTCCTTCCCCCTGCCCTAGTAAATACGGAATACTGAGAGAGATATTGCCGCATATACCTATTGATTTGGAGAAGTCATTAATATTAGTGGATCAATGTACCTATTCATTTATAGTTCTATTTATCTAACATTTCATAATGGAACTGAGATTCAAAATTTCCTTAGACAGAAATGTAGAACTCAACAACAATGAAATAAAATGACACATATACATAAAACCAATGGGAGATGAGGCATTTAGGAAATGAAATCAGGAATTTTGCCATTGGAAAGTGGATGGTGGCTTAGGTCTGTTACAGAAAAGGAGAATACAGTACCTTTATACATGATGGGCAGCAATTCAATAAGCACAAGATGAACATTCCATTCTGGCTGAAACATTACCCACCAGAATGATACAGCTAAGGCAGTAAGAAGTGCCTGCTTTTTTATATATCATTTCATTGTAGGCATAAATAGATTTTTATTTATTTTTTTGGTTGACTCTCAGCTGGAGTGAAGCATTGCTACAAATATTAGCCTGAAGTTCGAGATAAAAGTGAACAGGGTTGGTAGGCCTTAAATTTCACCTCTTTGTAAAGAATCGGCTGTAGTGGTGCAATTTGTTTCTTGTATAACACTGCCGACACAAGGAGAATCCTCAGCCACATTTTTCATGGCAGTGAGATATGCACTTGTCAACATATTTTGTCACCGCAACGTGGCTCTTGGCAATAGGATCATAAAGATCAATAAAAAAGTGCAGATTCTCAATATTTTACGAGCAGCTGCAAAAATTTCATTTATCTTGTTATTTTCCTCACTTACTGCCACCCTGTCTCAGGAGGGCACTGCTGGCTAAGCAGAATGCTTTTTCCCAACATCCTATGAATATATGACAAAAACTCCTGCCTTCATCTCTTTCCTGCCCTCTTTCTCTACCCCTCCATCTATTTCCACCCAAGCTGCACATTTTATTAATTCTTTCCACCATTACATAAAAATCAAAATCAGGGCAGTGCTATAAATCACCCGTATCTACTGGCTTGGGAGGGGGGAGGGGAAAAAAAAGAGAGTCTGCTTTGTACTTCACCCTTGTAACTTTTCATCTCTCTGTTTGGCTTCACCTAACATAAACACAGCAGCTCAGCAAATGAATGTGCTAAAACCCAGTGACACACTTTGCTGCTGAAAGAACTGAACTGTTTTCAAGCAATGGGTGGTCTCTGAGGCTTGGAGTAGGCCAGAAAAGTTGGGGGGGGGAGCGTAAGCATACACCATTCCCTACAAGCCTACAGAGCTTCCAAAACTTGCAGAAATCTCTGCATGTTGAAGTACATCAAAGGGATTTTTCCTCTTTCGGATAATATTTCCTTTGCTGACATGTATTTAGTATTGTGGTTGGATGACTCATAAAGATAGCTTTCGTGGCGTCCCAACGCAGTTGAAGCAGAACACATGCCAACAAACATTATTGTCAGCTTCAAAATAAAAACAAAACGTTCAGCGAAGGGTCAATCAATCAAGAGTGCTTTGAAGAAAATTCCATTTAGATATTACAAATCATAACAGAATGAATTTAAACCAGCTGACTTTCAGTGAGGAGGACGTCCATGTACAATAAAAATTAGGCGGTTTTTCAGTGTCCAACTATTCTATTTTCTTACACTTGGATGAAGTCCCTGGTGATAGATGCCAATTTTTCTTAAAAGTGTGTTTTTGTAGTTCATTTTAAAAAGATCTGAAGTAATCGAAAACAGATCAACAGAGAGAATTCTAAGAAACAGCTACAGAAGAAAAGGAGAGTTGTAAAATCCACTTAATATTGACAGATGTTTAATGACTTTCCCATGGCTACATTTTGCTTGAGATTTTCATCTGTACAGACTAATATATGCACACCCCAATCCACTGATTTCCTGCGGCTGCAATACTCCTATGGACACAGGCACCTTTTCATCTACAAAGTCCCCTCTGTGAAAAGGGCAGCATCCAGAAATATTTCTGAATATTTGTTTATCTTAAAAGATCTCCAAATGGTGAGAACTAGAAATATAATATTTTGTATGGCTACTACAGATGTTTGAGCTTAAATAACTGGGTGGGTACCGGTTGAGATCAGTTCCCATAGAGCCCTTAGATTGATTGACTGGTTGCTCCTGAAAGATCTCTGAAACACTAGTTGTAATATTGTGGGTATAACTATGCTTGTAGAAGGGCGATGATGTCACCAACAGAGGGAGATTAAGAGTAATGACTTCTCCCTTCTTGCCTGTGGCTTGTCCAACTTTTAGATAATCCACTTAATTTGGAAGCCACAAACACTGTAGGGTAGGAGAAGGAGACCTTTAACCACCAAAAATCTCTCCCTGCCAGTAACATCATCTGGCAGCAGCAATTTTCAGCACTGAAAGACTTCCAACTTCCGTCCCACAGTTCCTACAGCTTCCATACAATGGATTGTTTGTAAATAAAATAAGTCACAGATAAAAGGGGGAGGGGGTCTTTTAATGGATGAAAATCTCCCCTTGCTTGTGATGTCATCACCCTTCCACAGGCATAGTTCTGCCAATAGGATTTCAGCCAATAAGAGCTAGAAACACAAAACTGCGTATGGATACTACTGATTTCCTAATTGAAAAACTGGATGAGTTACCGTATTTGACCTGCGTATGGATACTACTGATTTCCTAATTTGAAAAACTTGATGAGTTACTGTATTTGACGGTGTACAAGACAACCTTTCGGGCCCCAAAAAGATGCCTCCAAGTGGGGGGGGTCGTCTTGTATGCCGGGTGCACTTCATTTGGGCCAGGAAGGAGCCGCCACCGAGTGAGTGACGTGGGGCCGCTCTGGCCGGGGAGGAAGGCGGGCACTGGAGGGTCTTCCTTCCATGATCTACACCACTCTCCAAAAATGTCTTTATATGGATTCAGAGTTGGGTTTGGTTTTTAATCTGAAGAAGACTCCTTGTGTCTTCCAATGGGGGTTGCACGCAACCCATGGATCACATGTTGCCCAATTCAATCTAGAACTTGGCTCCTGGTCTTGTTCGCCTCAGGCTAGAGTTGCAGCATAAATAAGGTCCTTCTTCATCGTGTTTTATGTCAGCATAGACACGCTCAGCCTCTTGCCCTCTTCTCCGCCCCCCCGCTGCTGAGCCAGCGCACTCGCTCACCCGCCACACACACCCCGCTTCCCCTCTTCCTCCTGCCTCCGCCGGCCCAGGCTCTTCCTATTGGGGGGGTCGTCTTATATTGCCGTTCGCCTTGTACGCTGGCAAATACGGTATATCTTTAAACTAGTTTCCCTGGACACCCCTTTTATTTTGTCCTGAAACTTCTTCAAAATATTAAGAGCTAGAAACACAAGATTTGGAACAGATACTATTGATTCCACAACTGAAAGAACTGCATTGGATTCATCTCAGTATCAGCTGTCCCAGAGCTCTTCCACTGTTTTGTTAGTCTCCAAAGATCTCTGATACAGTAAAAGCTAGAAACACAAAAGTTTGCAGAGTTACCTAACAAGCTAGTTCCTAATTTAAACAACTGGATTGGTTATATCTCAAAATCATTTATTTCAAAGACCCTGCATTAAATTCATTAAAAGTAAAAATGATCTCACATCTAAAACTGAACAAAGATGGGGACAGACCCATATTCTGTGGGAGGAGAATTGTACTCTATTCCTACCCACCTAAACTCTTTGGTGGTGGAACACACAACATACTGTGTTCATTCAGCACAAATGCACTTGACCTCTTTTTTAAAAGTATAAATAAAAATGTTGGTATTACAGTTTCGCTGATACAAATTGACAAGGGTTCCCCCCCTTTTGAATTCATGTTGACTAGTCTGATGCTCAGCCTGAAATAATATAATCATACCATTGTCTTGTTATGACACTAGGTGCCTAATGAAAAAGCCCTACATTTTTCCCTTTTCTTTTTCATCTGTAAAACTATTTTAATCAAAATAAATAAGATCAAAGCCTGATGCTCCAATATTTTTTTTAAACCCTGGAGCTTGCTAAAGTGGCCCTTCCCTTCATATTGCTGCAATATCCACTAATGCCAAATTATTATTTGTAATTTTACAAAGAAAACATTTATCTATCATTGGAGTCCGGTATATTTATGTAGTACATTACCAGGCGATGTTGACTGCAAACAAAAGCTCAAACACTATATATATCCATTCAAATTCTGTTTACTTTTTAATCTTTAACTATCTGGAAAGTCTACTTTTCTTCAGACAGGCCCTATCATGGAGCTGATCTTCTGTGATAGTTTCTGATTTTCCCACCAAGTTTAATTTGCAGCCTTGCATGCTATCTCTAGTTTGTATGAATGGGAGGAACTTTTCTGGGCTAAGGTGATTTTATATCTATCCACCACTAACCATCCATTCCTTCTAGCCTTTGAATTTGAAAAGAGCAATGCCTCTCTGCTAAGTGCTCTTTCCCTTTCTTTCTTGGGTTGCTGGCAGTTTTTTTGCTGTTGATCTGTTTGGTTGGTTGCTCTATAGCAATGGTCCCCAACCTTTTGAGTCATGGACCGGTTGGGGTGGTGGGGTCCATTAGCGGGGGGCACCCCCCATGTTCGTGGGGCTGCTCGTGTGCATGCCCTGAGGGGTGGATTGTGCTCATGTGTGTGCGCAAAGGGATGGGGCACACTTGCAGAGGGCAGGATGTGCTCACGGAGGAGCAGGGCACCCGTGGGTGTGGGTGGTGGCCTGTGCATGCCAGTGGAGGGGAGTGAGTGCGGGGGCAGGAGATCTGTCTCCGTGGCCCGGTCCCGCCATGGCCATGGACTGGCACCGGCCATGGACCGGGGGCTGGGGACCCCTGCTCTATAGTATGTGTCCAGAAAGAAAGCAACACAAACAAGTCTGTAATTTCATGCAACTTTAAATAAAGAAATGTTTTTATTCTTTCTCCTACAAAATGTTTCAGAGTGAATTGCTGAGACTTTAAATATCAGTTAATGAGAAAGGGGTGAACTCTGGGGAACTCGTAGCTATCCCCTTCTGTGGATCACTGTACAGTGGTGCCTCGCAAGACAAATGCCTTGCAGGACAAAAAACTCACAAGGCTAATGGTTTTGGCAATGAGGTTGATGACTTGCAAGACAAATGTTCCTATGGCCATGCTTCGCAAAACAAATGTTTTCCGTTTTTTGTTCATGCCTCATGTTTGCTGATTTTTAAATGTTTTTCTATGATGTTTAAAAAGTTAGTTTTCTGACTGACATTTTTTAAACCATCTGAACAATATGTATGGCTTTAAAGAGCACTTAATAAACCCTTTGTAAACCAAATTTGACTTTGTTCTGACTTTTTTTGCCCACAAAAGGTAAAGGTAAAGTTTACCCTTGACAATTTTTGTCCAGTCGTGTTCAACTCATGCTCATCCCCGTTTCCAAGCCATAGAGCCAGCGTTTGTCCGAAGACAATCTTCTGTGGCCACATGGCCAGTGCGACTTAGACACGGAACGCTGTTACCTTCCCACCGAAGTGGTCCCTATTTATCTGCTTGCATTTGCATGCTTTCGAACCGCTAGGGTGGTGGGAGCTGGGAACAGCGATGGGAGCTCACTCCGTCGCGTGGATTCGATCTTATGACTGCTTGGTCTTTTGACCCTGCAGCACAGGCTTCTGTGGGTTAGCCCGCAGCACCACCATGTCCCTTGACCATAGGAACGCATTAATTAGATTTCAATGCATTCCTATGGGAAAACGCATTTCGCAAGATGAATTTTTCGCAATACATTAACCGCGGAACGAATTAAATTTGTCTTGCGAGGCACCACTGTACTTTTACTGTATAATGAATTTTACCAGAAATCCCAAACTCTACAACAAGATTCGCATCAGCAAAGTGTCACTAACATTTGAAAGAAGGATGCACAGCATGTATTGTAGTGCTATGAAAGCAATGTCCTTGTTTTTTTCTGTCTGTGGGCCTAAGTCTGTTTTGAAGAGCTGCAGCAAAGAAGCAAGTCCAGGAGGTGTGATTTTTCCCAAGTGCACAGCACTGTCATGGGAAAACCCATGCATGCCTGCCAGCCAAACAAACAAATCTTCTACGAAAGCCTTCAGGGACTGCTTCCCACATTAATTCCCTTTACTTGTGTTCTTGAAACATGCAGTAAAGAGTCTGGGAAATGTCCAGAAACCTTGTGTGATGTCATGACATGTTCACTTATGGCAACCTTAGTAGTAGCAATCTCAAGGTATGTGAGATGCTCAAGGATTGGTTTACCATTGCCACCCCCACCCCTCACCCTGCTTTCCATGGCTAAACAGGGATTTGATCCCAAGTATCCTGAGTTTTAGTCCAAAACTCTATCCACTACACCACATTGTTCTCTTAGCTAACTGATAGTGAGGTCTTATTGAGATTGACATTGAACATTGAACTGTTAATTAAACTATTAATTATTTTGTACTAACTTCTTCACTTCTGATCAGAGGAGCCATCTATTCAGAACCCCTTACAGGGTCACAACACCAAGGCAGACGAGAAAGAAGAACCGTGTGTGTTCCCTTTTGTTTTTTCAATTTCCACACAATAAATACTACTCTTTGAAATACTTAAGACAGTGAGGCATCACCCTAAGATACCACTCTATCCTGAGGTCATGCAAAACCACACATCTGTCATGAGTCCTATAGCTCACACATGTAATTGTTCAGCTGTCTCTCCATTCATTCTGGGAATACAAGTGGGAAACATTTATGTGTATAGCAGAGTGTAGAAGATAACATACCCTAGATTGCTTTCAAAGGGAATTAAGATTAATATACTGAGTACATCAGTTGGGGATTAGTCACAACAACTAAATAGACACTGATGAGTCAAGATGCAATTACTAAGAGACAAAGAGTAGGCCACAGTTAATGCTCTCATGAACTCGCTTATGAGCTTCCTGGAAGCACCTCTTTACTACTGTGTGAAACAGGATGCTAGGCTACGGCTGGAATCTTATACCCATTAAAGTGGGCATAAGTGTTATTGAAATCAGTGGAACACATATCTGAATAGACACGCAGGACAGGATTACATGGTACAACTAGAGTCCTATATATTACATGGCCATTGTGGTTGGGAGGTTCATGTGGTCTTTTCTCAACTCTTGTCTGTATGCACTCACCTACTAACAAATACAATTGAATTCTGCGTGGCGTATTTCTGTATTGCTAATTTCCAAGCATACATGTATAAGCTGTACCATAAATAAACTCTTGTTCTTATCCAGCATTACTGGTCCGATAGCCTTCTAATTTTTAACGTTTAAATCGGAACTCTATATAAAAGAAGCCAGCTCTTTGTCATGTCCTCTGTAACATGGAACAGATCCAGAAATACAGTAGCCAAAGAAATCCTTCCAGTGGCACTGTCCCACAACTGGTTGCACAAGAGCTAGAACTCTTTCTAGCAGAACATGGATTTAGTGCAATCATGTTATCCCCTTGTGCAGCCTCTTTAAAAACAGATTTTTTTAAAATGGAAGGCAGTTTTTAAAAGCAGTTTTAAAAACCAAAGAGAATGTAGAATAATACCTTTTTGGATGCCAACCAGCAGTTCAATAATCTGTGCTAACAGCAGGGGCTGGCTTGGGGCCTGGGGAAAGAGACACCCAACGCACCCCAGCTTTGGAGGCAACCCCCACCCCAATCACAACCAGTGTATGGCTGGCAGCTGTCGTGCAAGGGTTGATTGTACAATGTCTTGTGCTCACAGAAGCACATCACAAGATGTTATTTTTCGCAAAAGGATTTTAAAAGTCACTCTGTTTACATAAATCAGATTTTTAATAACACAATGGAGTTTCAGCCACCTATACTGTATAAGGCTACTGGCACACTAAAGTGAAATGTGCCATTCACAAATTATTTACTGATGATACACTGATTTCTGACTGGTATTTCCGTTATGAAACTTTTATCACAGAAAATAGTTTTAAGATATTTGGAGAACAAATTGAAACACATTTTACCTGTACTGGACTACAGTTAGATTCTGTTCCCCACAGTGCCTGGCGCATCGAATATATCTCATCCAACTTGACTTACTGGGTTCCCCGCCATCAATAAAGTGCTGTAGTGTCCCATCCTGGTCATATATCTGTAAAAAGAGGCCATGGGGTCAAGTAGTTAGAATGAATCATCAACAATCATTCTCACTGCTTTGCCAGTGTTTGTGTGTGCCTGTTCCAGAAATTTATTGCAATGAGATTTCACAGCTTATTAGAGCTCCTAGAAATCCAAACGGAAAAAATGACAAAATATTTTTAGTGATGGAAGTTTGTCATGCTTCTCTTATCAGGGCAATCTTTCCTACATTTAACATACTTTGGGTGTATCAAAGATGCAACCATATTTCCCAAAGAATATTTAACCTACTTTGACAGGACAGACTTAAATAATGAACTGACATATAAACAAGCACACGCACAAAAATCCGGATGCATGAATTGCACTGGAAAAGCTAGACAAGGGTCAGCATTTTCTGAGTATTTGGTCCTTTTTATGTCTCTCACTCAATGCCCTTTTTCTTTTTCTCTCTTTGTTTCACCAAAACCTTTTACTGATGAAAAGTTTCCCATAGAACATGTTTCCAAGCCCTCCTTTTCAAAAGTTGCAGTATGCTGGATAGGTACCGTCAAGGTAGGAGAGATATGTGCCACTCCTATAGCACTCCACACCTAACAAGACACATGTCAAAGTAACAAACAACATGGGTACTGAAAATCCAAAATTAATCTTGACAGCCTATAGTATAGCAGGTGAGCAGCTGTATCATCTGGTTGAATGGAAGACAATCACAGCCCTAAATTCAACTGCACATCCCAACTAGAACAGACTCATTGAATCCAGGGAAAGGCTTAAACTGGAAGGGGCTTTGAGGCCTGTCTAAGCCTTGATCCTCCCAAGCTCCCCATTACTCCCCTTGAATAGAAAACTAGACAGAGCTAGGCCTCAAATTCAGGCCTTTCTTCCAGGTGAACCACATTTAGGAATCTGTGTGACAGAAAGAAAACCTAAAACAGAGATTTCCAGGGTCTGTCGTCCAAAAAATCCAAAAATCCCATCGCTAGTACTTATGAGAATTTATGGGAATTGTAAGGAGTAGATACTACTGAGTTAAATGAAGCAATGATCTAAGGTCCTATTGCTTATTTTATCTCACCAGTTGTAATACTTTATTGCCTTTTCCATAAAGTTCATTCCCTGATGGGAGATAACTATCTTCATAGCTTCTATAGCCTATAGTTTAAAATAAATGATAGTGTTTGGGAAACAACTCTTTTCAAATCCTTCTGAGGTTCATGGGTTTCTTTATTCTCAAAGAAGAACTCATTTATGATCAATTGTCCTTAAAATATATAAATTATTAATAGGGATAAGAAAGCCACAGATTAAAAGGTACTTTATTTTTAACTAGCACCTTTTCTTCTGAGTTTTGCTCTTTTAACCAAGGTTAAAGAATCAAATCTTTATGAGGGTTGTGAATGTTTAATACTTTCTTTTTGTGACTTTCATATTTTTTTCATACACTTCTGGTTCCCTTAGGAATCAGGAACAGAAGAGTGAAGCAAAAAAAAACAAACCGGAAATATTCTTCAGGGCTCATTGCATCTGACTGGAAGGGAAGACATGCATTTAACCCTGAAGAAAGAGAAAGTAAAGCTTTGTATTCAACTAATTTCTTCAGAATTGTCTACAATATGCAATCTCATTACAAAGCTACTCATCATACTCTTGGCTCATTGACCAAATAAAACTAAAGTTTTGTAGGACAAACTAACAAACGTCCATATTAGAAACACTTTAGTGCCCACCTCATGCCAGTACTATTTCCTACCTCCTTCCTTTCCGACTGGCCTTTCTTTGCCTCAGTGCTCCATCAGCCGTTTCCTGCTCTTTCTCTTCCTTCTGCCCTCAACTTACCAGGCAGAAGGACCTTCTCCCCACCACCGCCCCTCTATAGTTTGCAGAATTCAGGACCCTTGCAGGGAGCTGCCTTAACGAACCTTTGGAAAACTGTGTATTCTCACTCAGCTTCCTTTTTGCTTTCTAGGGGATGTTAGGAAACTCTTTAAATAGTGTTCATTAAAATGAAAATCTGTCAGTGATTCTCTTTTGTTCTTTAACTGATTTATAATTACATGTTTTTATGCATCATCAAGGTGCATCTGACTTCTGACAACTGCAACAGGGTTTTATATAACCAGTATCAGCATCTTAGAACTGCAGAGCTGGAAGGGGCCCTATGGATCACTGAGTCTAGCCCAAGGCATGTGAGATATTTAAGGAGTGTTTTTTTTCCATTGCCACCTCCAGTGAGTTTCCATGGCTAAGTGGGGTTCAAAACCAAGTCTACTGAGTCCTTGCCTTTATATGATACTGGATTACATCATACTGGATACATGTTAAACATTGTTAAATAAACTTAAGATACTAATTATTAACTAGTTAATTTTAATGCCATCTTTCTCCCAGAGAAGTAACCTAAGTAACGCAAGGTAGTTCAGGAATTATTTCTTTAAAAAAGAAAAGTAACAACATAAAATAAAAACAACAACAACAACAACAACAACAACAACAACAACAACAACAACAACAACAACAATAACAACAACCTTTATGGTCAATACACAACATGTGTGCAGTGAAATTTAATGAGCCTCCATTGGTACAACCACACAAAGCACAAAAACACAGAACACATTCAGACACAGAATATATCTCCAGCCTTATAAACAAATCCCCAACCCCAGAGGTACTGGGGCTAGACACACATTTACACACACATTTACACACACATTTACACACACATTTACACACACATTTACACACACACACACACACACACACACACACACACACACACACACACACACACACGTGTATGTGTGTGTGTGTGTGTGTGCACACATTATTCCACCGCTTTGTACATATTGCATGTTGCACTGGCACTGTGAATCTGTTATATTAAGTCTAGTCATGGCGTTATATGGCATTTAGAAGTCTGACAGCCCATGGATAGAAGCTATTTTTCAGCCTATTTGTCTGGCTGGCTTTATATTCATATAAAGGCAAGGACTAGGCCTTTTCATAGAGAGATGTGATCTAAAAATTGGCTCCATGGAGAAAAAAATCTGGCAAACATTACAGAACACAGCTTTAATAACATATAAATAACAATAACAATAACAATAACAATAACAATAACAATAACAATAACAATAACAATAACAATAACAATAACAATAACAATAACAATAACAATAACAATAACAATAACAATAACAATAACAATAACAATAACAATAACAATAACAATAACAATAACAATAACAATAACAATAACAATAACAATAACAATAACAATAACAATAACAATAACAATAACAATAACAATAACAATAATAATAATAATAATAATAATAATAATAATAATAATAATAATAATAATAATAATAATAATATACTCAATAACTCCATTTCTTTTTGCTGGTACGTATCATCTGGACGTGTATAAACTGATGGGTATGTCATGCTTTTTATTGCAATGTAACATATATCACTCCCCCTAAAGCATAGCAAAACTAAAAGTCATATTAATCCAAATTTATTTCAGCAGAAAATATTTAAGCCCATGTTCAGCCACTGTAAAATGTGGCTTTTAAAGATTGCGAAAGCTACAGCTAGCACAAAACACAAGCTCAGATTGTTGCCTTGTGTACACGTTAGAAAGCATATTAAATCAGTCTTTTAATGAACTGCATTGACTTCCATTTCCTCACAAGCTGAATTCAATGTTCTGGTTTTCTTTAAAGCCATAAATGGTTTAGGGGCCAGGATGCTAAAAGAATGCCACCTCACATATGTATCTGTCCAGAATGTGAGGTACTGAGTGGAGACACACTTGCATGTCCCAGCCCTCTGAGATGCAAGTTTGGTTGGTATATGAGACAACACTTTTGCAGTAGAAGCATCTCATCTGTGGAACTCCTTCCTTCAGGTAGTTATGCTGGCTACATTTTTGTTGAGCATCCAACAAGCCTCCAAAACTTGGCTTCAGTGTTACGTAACATGATTGGCAAACACATTCTGTCAGATCAATGATTCATACCAAGAACAATCAGAATCTTTCTAACAAATATTTTCAATCATTAATTAAGAAAATCAAGTCAAATTAAGTACAATGTTAAACATGCTGAATATATTCAAATATGTAAAAGTTCTTGAGCTGTCCTTTTTCTTGACGCTAAAAAGGCATTTGACAGGCTAGAATAGAATTCTAATGCCTACTTTGTCGATTAGATTTTAAAAAACAACTACTCCTTTTCATCAGTTTCTTCTTCACTAAATAATTATACGCCTGAATAATTATATTAGAAGAATTAGGAGACAAGGGTGTTCCCTGGCATAAATATTTTCTGTAGTATCAATAGAACTATTAATATTACCTGTTCAATATAGAATTTTAATTTATGGCATTGCAACAAATGTCACCAGCTTTAAGATAAATATCTATACTGATTGTAAGGTCATCTGTACACAATCTGTAAGGTTAACTGGTTAAAAAACAAACATATAAAAGCTGAAAGTGCTAGATTTCAATCTGTCAATAGTAGCATCTGTACTACAGAAGGCACTTCTGTATACAAAGCCAATTGACCAAAATGTCCAATATAAAGTGTGCATCTCCCAAGAATCATCAGAATCTTTAAAATAAATATTTTCAACCATTAATTAAGAAAATTAACTCAAATTTAAAAAACACTGGCTAGATCCAACAGTGACCTTATGCTTGAAAATCTCCAGGCACTCAGGTGGTCTCACCTTTTCAAATCTTGTGCGAGGAGGCATCTGATATCTCCCAGCACTAGCAATTTTCCAGTATCCAAGACACAGTTCTACCTTCTACAAGCTAAAATGAACATTGCTTGGAAGACAGAGCCAGAAGCTTCCAACTGCATTTGCTGATGCCAGACAGTCAGCCACCACTGCATGTTTTTGTCATTCCTCAGGAGCCCGCATAAGTATACCAGCAGGGCATTATGTTCTACCAGCATTACACAGGCCGCAGTCTGATATATTTTATTTTACAGCCAA